CACTTTGCAAATAAGCATTCTGCATTTCCTACTCTTTGGGGGGGAGGAAATAATATAATCTGAATGCTGGATTAGGTTCTATTAGATTTATTTTTGTTTGGGTGAGAGAGGTTTGGAGATTGACTCATGATGTCTTTTTAATCATTCCTTTCTTTACAAATTGAGCCTAAATAGAGGAAATGGAGCTTACATAGCATTTAGGAATTGCTCCAGAGAAAACATTGGGAAGAATGATGGATGGAACATGGGATGGGGTTTTCTTTGTTTTGTTTTGTTTTGTTTCTTTTCATCCCTGAAATGGAAATTCAGTTAGGAAAGAATGAAGTTGAGGGGAGAATGCCAGACAACCGCCATTTTTTCAGTACCACCATCCTCATTGATTTAAGAATTATGTGTATCTTTGGGCTCCTGCATTCTCTTCCTCCCCTTTCTTTTGTGATTCTCTTCTCATCTTTAGTTTCAACAAATCTTGTTTACAGGCAAGGACCAACTGTAGCATAACTAATCAGATGCAATGTTGAACAACAGATTGCATAAACAAGGATCTGTCATAGTTGTATATGAACAAAGAAAAGAGACAGAAGAAGCACATTAGTCTGGGGCTGCCTAGAGCTCCTTCATATAATTCCAAATTATGCCTGAATAAATCTATTGCACTCCACTTTCCTGTAATGCTACATGCCTTTAGTTTTAATATGTAAGATTGTTCTTTTTAAAATATAAAAAGGTACATGCTGGAGGGAAATGGGGAACAGTGGATTATTGGAATTTTGTTATTGGAAAAGCACTCTTCTAAAGAGGTTATTTACACTGTGAAGAAAATTTGTCCTTAGATATCTCTCAGAAGAGCAAACTTTTTTCAGGGAACAAATATTTAAATTCCTTCTCCATGACCGCTGAAATCTTAAGGTTACTTTATGGTTTTTGGTTTTTTTTAAGAGTGCAAATATTGCATTTAATAAACTGCTTTTAGTTTAGGCCCGTCTGTTTCTTTCTTACCCTTACTTTGGAACCATTTCAGGTTAAAAGTATAAGAAATTCACCTCTGTTCCTTTTGAAGAAAAAGGAGGAAAAGGACATTGCTTATACTTTCAAATAAGATGTAGTTTGACTTGAATATTCTTCCCTCAAATTGGTGTGTGTGTGTGTGTGTGTGTATGTGTGTGTGTGTAGTAATCAAGATCTTCAAATGCCTGTTTTTCTTACTATTTATGGTGATTCTCTTCCTCTGTATTCCTTTGGATTATCTCAGTGTTTTTCAAACTTGGCAAATTAGATCTATTAAAGTTCTTAAAGTTGCCAGGTTCGGAAAAAAAACACTGGATTATCTGGAGCACACGGAATATTTCATCATCCCCAGTGAAAGAGAAACCTGGAAATATAAATGTGAAAAATATCCACTCTGAACATTTTTGGTTTATTTTTTTCTTTTATTTTTACCATTTATAAATAGCTTTTCCCAGAAATGCTCAAATTAAGTGATATACAACAACTGTATTATTTGAAAAGTTTGTTTTAAAAAAAAAATAGAATTAAGAGCAATAACATTCACAGCAACAAAAACATTGCAACCAATATACTAGCAGATAATCACAGCACTTATTGTATGCAAAAGCTTGACAGGATAAAGAGAGGCACCATAATAGAAGTATACAATACTACCAGATTTGACTGGATTACATGTGTTGTGTGAAAATGACGTATGTTCCCAGATATGAAACACAAGGCATTTAATAAGACTGTACCTGCTTCAAAATGGATTCAGAAAAACTGCTCTGCACTTCTGAAATAATCTGCTAAAGAGACTAACTGTTAAAATGTGCTGCTATTTTAAGAATTGACTTAATTTTCAAACCGAATCATGTTTGAAGGGTACACAGCTTTAGTTTCTGGTGCTGAGAGAGTATTTCCTCTCAACAAAAATTAATCTTCACTGTTTCTATTCTTGACACCTAGAAGTGTAATTGCTGAGCGTTGTTTGTGATTGTGCTGAAAGATGGTATGTTTGATTTAGCCAAATATGAAATAGTGCAGTAGAATGCATAGCAATTCAAATATTAATTCCACTGAATTCAGTGGATTTTGCTCTCAGATAACTGCAGCTTAAAAAATGCACTGAACCTACAGAAAAGCGATAAAGAAGAAATAGGCAGCCTGAGGCCTCCAACTTCTTTTTTGTGACCCATCGAGCCCCTTTGCACCACAGTTATCAAAAACTGGTTGTGCCATTTTGAGGCAGGAAAATCTACAAAACTGTTACCCCTCCCTCAAAGAAGTGTAACAACTCTTTTTAAAAAAGAGAAAATTTTCTCTGTAAGCTCAGGGGGGGAAATAGGGAAATCTTGACTCTAACTAATTTCCACAATTGAGCCACTTATTAGAGTGGCTGCGGAATTCTGGGAGTTGAAGTCCAATATCTTTAAATTGCCAAGGATGAAGAACACTGCCATGAACGTTAGAGCAGGGGTGTCAAACTGCTAGCCCGTGGGCCGGATGCATCATCCGGAAGCCGTGCCCACCCTATTGCTGGCAATGGCAAAACCGTCCCAATACATTGCACGACGTCATGTGATGTCACGAGTTTGACATGTCTGCATCAGAGCAAACTGCAGATGAAAAAAGATTACTCACATCTGTAGGAAGGCACAGGCTATAATGTGTAGCTCTATAAAATATCACAGGCAATGTAAAGCTAGCTAGCAATAATTAATATGCCCCGTTATGGACCATATGGAAGTTCACATGTTTTCATCTTTGACAAATGTGTTTCACCAATCAGCTAAATTTGGAGTTATAGGTTTTCCCAGATTGTTGTTCACCAGGTGCTGTTAGAAATTATAAAAATAGAAGTCCAACAACTTGAAAATGACTAGGGAATTCCTAAAGGATTGGAATAGACCAGAAGAGCCCCAAGCAATTACTATTGGCCTGAAAGGAATTAAACTGAAATCCAAAACTTTCCAGCAGTGGACTGCAGCCAGCTTCAGATTCAGTAGATCTGAATCTACTCTCCCCTTCATTTCCCAGAAAAGATTAGGTTCCCCAAATCCACATAATAAATACCCTAAAGCCAAAAAAGAGTTTGCCATACAATAAAACCCAAACACTGTTTTGAGCAGCCTGGATTTGGAAACAGTGGATGATCTACTATTTATTTCTTTTTCCCTAGTTAGCTCTGTTAGATATCAAGTTGACAGGTTTATTGGGAGACAGTTGATGTTTATAGATTAATTGAGATAAGGTTCAACCATATGTATGTCCTTTCCTCGTGTTATGGATTATTTTGGGCTTTTTCCTCCTTTTATTCCTTTCCTGTTTGTCCGTTCCTCCCTTTTTATTGTTCATGCATCGTGTTTTTGTTTCTATCTTTTGATATATTATTGTCTTAGTACATTCTAAAAAAAGAACCTACATTTAGAATACTGTCATTTCAGGAAGAAAGGCTGCAGCTGACAGTTTCAGTTCCTTACTAAGACTGTTCCCTTTCTAAAACCAGTCATCTAAAGGCAACAAGGTCCAAACAAAGTTTTTTCCACTTGAAAGAGCTACACCCCATGCTTGTTGTAATGAGTAATGAGGTCTTACACTCTTGGAAGGCAAAGGACTTCATCAAAAGTTAGACCAACATATGTATTTATAACTAAGGGATATAATTAAGAAAAAGATAATGAATTACTTTGCACCTCATGGAAATCTATTTTGTCCTTTTAAAGGCAAAATGTGAGAAACTGCCCCATAGAAAATTAATGGTTTTACCAACAAATTTTGACAGCCCAAACTGAAGGGGGCTGGGAGTCTCTGAACTCCCCCTCTCCAATGATGCAAATTCTACTTGCTAATAAGAAACATTTCATTTGAGGAAGAGATTCCTTGTTCTGCAGCAAGATTGCTTGATGGGGTTAATTTTATTGTTCTATAACTAGAAACTTTTTAACACTCAAAAGAAGGTTGTAAGCTAGAAAAAAAAGGGGCCTTGTTTTCAGTAATAAATGGGTCTGGGCTCTAGAATTGGCAAAATTAGTCTTGGGTGCTCTAAACATTTTCAGTTTTGTTTCCAGATTGGAAGTATTCCTGGGTTGGGTACATCTCTTAATATGAAGGCTATATTACTCTACATTTAACAGGAAGAGAAAAGAAAGCAAATAATTGTATCAGGTGAATCTGAATCCTACCAGCAATGTAAATTAAATAAATATATAGACCAATTTTAGGATTTCCCTCCCATACCCTTATTTTATTCAAATAAGCTAAAGCACACTCCTTGAAAATGTTGCTATAGTCCAGCTTCCATGCCAATTTCTAAAAGTTATTTTGTCACTATTAATACAAATTGGAAGCCATTATTATTTTTTACCAAATACCCTAGAATCTCATTTTTCTAGATTTCAAAGATACTATCTTATGCTTCAAAGATTAGCTTACTCTATTTGAAAATATACTGAATAGTAAATTACTGAGCAAAAATAGCACATCATCTGGATTATACCAGCTATCTTTTTTTCTGATTTATTTTAATATAGAAGGATATTTTTAATTATTATATATTATGATTTGAGTTTTTGTAACTGTATTCCTGTATCCCTATTTGGAATATGAATTAACAATTGTAGTTCTTTTAAATTAAAGCAAAAATAGAAATTATGCCTGAAAAGAACATCCTAAATTCAAAGTGAAACTCTGATGTCCTGCTGGAGAGACATGGGATTGGAAAAAAATTGTTTGGTCAATATAAATTGGAGCATTTTATTCAAGAATGCTCTAATCTATGTTGTTGCTTTAACATGTTTCAAGACTAAGCCATGACAATAAAAATTGGTTCCAGGACTGAAGACTGGTGTCATGGCTAGAGAATTTTTTTTCTCATCCTAAATATAATTTATCCCTTGCATTAAGGAGATAAAGTATATTAGGATAGAAGAGGTCTAGGCGTTACTGAAACAGCTTGGGTTTTAGTGGACCTTTAAGAAAAGTGGGGGAAAGAGCTTTGTCCCCTGTTTTTCTTTTCCCTTTCTCAGTAGAAGAAGAGCAAGTTCCCCAAAAACAAGAGCAGATCTACTCAGAGGAAACTCTCAAAAGACTTATTGAGGTACTCAAGATTAAAGCCAGTTGTCACTCACATGGAATACAGTTTCCATTGTGAGTGAAGAATGATCCATGGATGCAAATAGCTACCCAGTTAAACAGCAGAGAAATACGGGTTGACTAAGCCACATCATGCTTAGATTAATGCAGTTATTTTGATGAAAGAGGCAGCCATACTGCTATTATTCCCCCTCAGGAAAAAGGCATTGTGGTAACTCCCAGTTTGCATTGCATCTACTTATCAAACACTAAGTACAACAAGTTCCCTTGGCAGATTGTCAAGGCAAGTCTCATTGTCCACTTATCAGCCTGGTCACTCTTCCACTCCATCTACAGGCTGATGGCAATCCAAATCTTCCTTCACTTCCAAACTTCCTGACAATTTAACCCCTGTCTTCCGATCCACACACCAACATTTCCCTCGTTGCCCATCCAAAGCTGGGTGACACTGAAGGAGAAAGATAGAAGATTAATTCTCATAATTATGAAAAAAATAAAACAATCTTACTAAGAACTCATTCTCACATTCCTCTGCTCCCAATTATTTTTGACATCATATCCTTATAACATTGCCTTCATTTTACCCACAGCCAAGGCAACATAAAACTTCAGTTGTTCCATCTTTTCTCAACATAAGGTTAGCTGACAATACAATTTCAGCAATGATGTAGCTTGTGGTGTGGTTGAAAAGGGAACCTACCCAACTCTTATTGTCCATTTTAGTTGCTGCAAGCAATTTATCTGCATAATACCTAACCAATGCTTTCAAAGAATTGGTTGTCTTCCATGTTTCTTTATAAATATGGGGTTAATGCTTTCTTTAAAAAAAAACCACTAGGATTATATTTTTAAAAAGCAGGAAAAGAGTGTTAGTACTATGTTGCGTAGAAGTTCAATAAGCAGCAAAAGGACTAGAATTCTTCTAGCTATGTGATGCTTATTCTGTCACTAACAAACAGACACCAGGTTTTCCATTGCTGCTAACAAAAAGTTTGTATGGTTATACCTTTCACTGCTTTTGTTAAGGAGTGGAACAAACTATTCAGTTCCAGGTCCATGACTAACTCCAGAGTACTTCCAGGTGCTGCTGGCTGTAAAGGCAGAAGTTGCTACCAGCATTGCCATTCCCTTGCAGCACAAGTGGAGGATAGAATTCACTCATTATTGATTGCTCCCTCCCATTTCACTCCACATCCCACCTCATGGCCTGCATTAGAGCCAGTTTGATGTAGTGTAGTCATAGCGAACCAATGATTTGTTGTTGTTAATTGCGAAGTCACTAATATCCAAGAACTATTCTCAAAAGCACACCCCATTCTCACTTAATTTTTGAAGACTGCAGAGACCGCATGAGAATGGGATGTGCTTTCCTTGCAGCCTCCAAACCCTCCAGAAGTCACACAAAAGGGCAATGCTGTTGCATGGCCACCGGAGCATCTGAAAGTTGTGTAGGAATGGGGAGTGCTTTTACACAGTTTTGGGAAGTTGAGGCTGCAGGAGAACCTTCTCCAAACCTGCTTCAAGAATGAAGGCCTTATGCAACCAAGAACAGTCTTGAGTAAGCCAGGGGGGCCTGTCAACAAAAAGAGAACACCATGTAAAAATAAGTGGTACACAGCAGAACCTGAGAAGCACAAGGGATATTTTACCGTTCTCCAAGGCTATTGAACAATGGGGAATGGCAAAAGGCAGCCTTTTTGAGTGACAGTGGTGGCTCTAGGGCTGAAATCAAGGCCCAGGCCTCAACTTCAGGCCCGGCCTCAGCACTATCACCAAGTGTTGCTGTTTGTGGTGGTCTGGATTTGGTGATGGGGAGATAAAGAATTGTTTATCTTTTGTTACCAGCAGAGTCAGGTTAGGCACTTTCTGAATTTTTGACAGGCCAAGGCCAAGAGGTTTGTAATCACTTGTCTAGGAGAGAGAGAGAGAGAGAGAGAGAGAGAGAGAGAGAGAGAGAGAGAGAGAGAGAGAGAGAGAGAGAGAGAGGATGATACCTTGGTTGTTTATATGCCAGCTGTTTCCACTCTATTAATTTTATTTGGACTACTGAAAAGCCATCAAATTAGCATTTCCCTTATAGAATCCAAAATTCCAAAGTTGGGATGGAGTTTTTGAGAGCCACAGGATCTCAAAAAAGCAAAGACAATCAACTATACCACAGCTGTACTGGAAACAAATCAGTTCAGTTCTTCAACATTACTGATACTGTGGGAATTCAGAGATCCAGAGCTACTTTTAAATGGCAATATGTTTAGTGTTTTATCTTGAACTGTGCCACCAACTCCACAAAGGCAAATAGAATAGCAGAGGGTACTACCAGGATGATGGATAGTCATCTCACCAGCTTCTTGATATGTTCTCTGACCAGTTATGGCCATCATAACAGTTATTTATTGAAGATGCCGAAAACATACTTTCAGAATGTTCTCACTAAAATTTTCCACCTTGTGTAATCTGTCATATCAGAAAGGTGTTAGGCTGGGAAAGGCTGAACGACATCATGCCAGTTCTCAGAGTCAGAACTGGCTATTTATTAAATATTGCAATGCCCTTTCCAGCTTTTGAGGTGTCAGAACAGTAAGCTGATTGTTATAATATCATATTTAGCATCAATAGGGACTTTTCACCACCCCATAGATTAAAAGAAAATGCAAGCTTGTTGCTCTTTCTATGTTTATTTTTGCACCCAGGCTTCTCAATTATGCTGACACATTGTTGGAGTTCCATAACACAAAGTGAACACCCATGGGTCGCCTTAATGCACAATTAATAATAATTCATAGGATGTGCTATGCAGATCTGAGTTGTAATGAATTAAAAATCTGCTTGTAAGTCAAGAGAATTTGGAGGGGGGGAATGCAGCCCACACAAAATAAAAATTTACCCATGCCCTCCCATATTTCAGGGTTACCTGCTTGGGGTGGAAATTTCCATTTTGGTCACAGTTAGGGATGGGAATGAGGTAAAGGTCCTCATGGGTTCTGGTTTGGGAAGCTGCTAGTCTCTCTAGGGCTCTTTGAAGCTCACTCTGACACAAGCCTTGAACCTGTTGGCAAAATAATAGGAGGAACTGCAGTCAGAACACAGGAACAGGAACTGTGAATGCATCTAATATCTCTCATAGTAAATTTGAGTATCATGTTATCTGAACATTTTTATTCTCACCAGTTTACTTCTCCCTGGTATGGAGATAGCTAATGAGCATCCATGCCTTGATTAGCCAGGCTTAGCGAGATATTCAAAAGGGGACTTTGGATATAACAGGGAAGCCTCCATGAGTTCAGCTGGTGCATTGATTTAAATTACTAGCAATAACCAACACTGAGGCAAATTGGGAATGAATTTTATAAAGTACCAAAAATTAGAAATAGATTGTCCTCAATCCTCCTAATGCATCAGGCTAAAATTTCTAGAAATTCCATGGCTGTGCTGGCAGGGTAATTCTGGGACTTGTAATTCTAACACATCTGGAACGCATCTGAAATGTTAGGAAATGAAGAGCAAAACTGAACAGCAAATGGGAAGAGCCTAATTCAATGAAATATGGTTTCTATTCCCCTTTCTCTGAAGAAAGACCAAAGCCCCTCACCACTGGCCGGATATCCTCCCGGAGCATGAGGCTCCCATGGTTCCTCATCTTGACACCAATGTTTATTCGTTCCCGTGCTCTTGCTTGTTGTTTCTGCAGGCATTTACGGTCATGGATGTTGCAGGGGCTGAAGTTGTTGGTGGGAGGGAGCTCAATCTCTGCCTGCTCTAAATAGGAGCCGAGGAAATGACAAGGATCAAAACAAAGCAGATTGGTCTTGAAGGTGTATTTTAAAAACATGCCCATCCAAATTGTTATCTATGTTTCTGAAAGTCTGGCTGCATAAAAGTTTCTTGTGTGCATTGTTCCTGTTAACAGGAATATTGGGGAGAATTCTAGTAGTTCCAGCCTCAACTCATTTGGAGGGCTCCCAAATCAGATTCCAAAATCAAAAGACCCACTAAAGACACTCTTATGTTTTTGCCTCCATCTAGGACCTTTTTTGCAGCCAAGCTATGTTAGCTTTTTTGGTTCTCAGTTTCTCTAAAGAAAAATGGTTGAATCCTTTTTGGAGTTCATAACCTGTTGTCTAGAAATCTTGCCCAATAAGTTCACAATTATGTCCACGAATGGGTTTAACAATGATAGAAATACTTTCTGTCCTATATTATTGCATTGTGTTCCTACAACAGTTTACAGCTTCCAGACAATCTATTGAAGTCTGCTCAAAAGTAAGCACCACTTGAATACTGGAATACATGCTCAAAAGCTATTATTTTTGATACTGTTGGCTGTCAGAACACTAGCTTGGATCCATATGGACATAATAAAGCTTGGCACAAATAAATTCTATGAAGAATATGTTTCCAGCAAAGTGGGCTATCAAAATATTTTTTTGCCCACCTCATTTAAATTCTGTTTTCGCTAACGCACAAGCCACTTGTATTTTGCCTAAAGCTTTTTCTCCTAGTCCATTTTTCTCTTCAAAACTTTGTCCAGTTGGCTTCGTCTGAGTTTCCAAACTATGATCATGTTCTCTTTTTAATTCTCCTTTTCCAAAAAGTCTGAGCCCAAGTTTCCAAGAATTTTTGTACAACTTTGGCTCAACTTCTCATAAGCTGACAAACATCGGAGATGGACTTGCATGTTTGTCAAACAAGGAGACAAGGTTTTCTTCATCAGTGAGGTTTCCCTCTATTTGTTTCACCCCAAAACTATGTTCTTCAGCATTTTCACTGAAAAAATTTGGAAAGAACTTTTAGATCATCTAGTCCAATATCTTGCCCAATCCAGAAATCCATTATTGCTGCATCTGTTTTGGATATGACAACTCTTTGTCAGACTCAGTAGCCTCCTAAATCAACAGTTCCTTTGTCTTAAGGGACAGCATTCATATTATCCTTTTTCACATTCATATTATCATTTAGCATAACATGAACAAACTATAGTAAGCATCAGATTTTTAAACATTCCCAAGAAATTGGGAATGAACCTCCAGTAGACTCATACCACATGCTAAGGCACAATGTTGTTTAAACCTAGCCAGCATGATTTATATACTCACTTTATTTCTTAAAACATTGTGTGAATCCAGCCAGGATAGATTATTCCCTAAACCATAATTGACTAAGTTGGGCTTAGTGGGTTGAATGATTATGACTTTGTTTTACATTCCAAAGGGTATCTGAAAATTGAGTCATGGCAATTGGCTTATTTTTGCTGATCTGAAATGTTTCACTGCTCATCCAAGTAGCTTCCTCAGTTTGAGGATGTTGGTTATCCAGAGAGTCACTGGAATGTACAACTCCTCAGGCACCAAACCAGACAATTCAATTTTCAGATAACTCTACCTGGATGACTAAGAATCTTCATTGACATATTGTTACACACTTTGGGGAAGAAACCCTGAGTTTTGTACAGGAGGAGTTGGTACATTCTAATGACTCTTTAACTTGTCTCAACTGAGGAAACTGCTTGGATAAGCAGCCAAATGTTTCAGATCAACAAAAATAAGTCCAGTTGCCATGGACTCAGTTTTCAGGCAGTCCTACTTGGATGACTGAGAATCTTCATCAACATACCAAATAGGGCTTTACAATTACGTGCCCTTCAAAACAAAAGTACTTGATGAAAGATCTCTTTTCAAGAGTTTGCTCTGCCTTAATAGAGGGAAGCCTAGAACTACAGAAAATCTAGTGATTGCTTGCATCTTTGCCACCTACGTACAATAGCCCTAGAGAAGCTAACAGGCCAGGTGAGTAGCAACAGTTTGCAAGAATTGCCTCTTCTGATGTTCCAGTAGAAAGGCACATTAAGGCAAAACCAGCATTATCTGGTTTATATATCCCTTCATGTTTCTAAGCAAAAGTATATTTTGCTGATCCTTTTCAACTTCACTTCTGGCTTTCAGTTTGATCTACACTTCCAGCTTTTACCCAGGTGGCCTGCCCGGGGAAAAACCTCTTACTGAGATTAGGCCAAAAGTAAGAAAAATCATTTTCTATGTTCTATCTTTTCCCTTTCTTCCTACATTACCTGAACTTAGGCCACCATTGTTACCTCTTCTAAAGTAAATAAAAATAGTGCCTAGCATAGTGCTCAGTCCCCCACTAGAAAGCTGTCTGTCTGCCTGCAGTGTCAGCAAGTTTCCACCAGCCTGGCCAATTTCAGGCTATTCCCGGCTACAGAAAAGCCAGATGAGGCTGTCCCACCAGGAGGGTGCTGAGAGGCTCGAAGACTCCAAATTGGATCAAGAGGTCGATCGCTTACAGCAGCCTCCAGAAAGAAGGCCACCACACTCAGTTGACAAGGCAGTTCCCTTCTCTTGATGTGCGGGGTGTGGAGGCCGACACAAACATGCGGACTGCCGGTTCCACACCGCAACGTGCCGGGTGTGTGGCAAACAAGACCCCATCACTGCAGTCTGTCAGGGTCGTTGGAGAGTGAGTCCACTAGAAGAGTTTCCCCGGAAAGGTACCGGGGACCCAGGGCAACACAGGGTGGGCTATTGTGCCACTAGGAGGAGCGTACTTAAAACAGGTGTCCATCATCCTCTTAAGGAAAAACTGTGGCTCAAAGTTAATCTGCAGGGAGTTCCATGCAACATGGAAATAGATACAGGATCTGCATTATCCATAATTTCCCAGGGAACCTTCCAACACATTTGTAGTCGCAGGGGCAAAAGGGTTAAGCTCAAGCCGTCGAACCTCATCTTAACAGATTTCCAAAACTCCCAAGTAACAGTCAAGGGGGAAGCTTCACTCTGGGTGCAATTCAAGGGATTTGAGAGCCCCCTGGAAGTCATAGTAGTTGAGGGCAACCACACAAGCCTCATTGGGCTTGATTGGTTTGATGCATTGGGAATCCATGTAACTAGAATAAACAGCACACAAACAGTGGACTTAGCGGCAGTTTGCCGGGAGTTTGCTGATGTTTTTAGCCCTCACTTAGGGAAATATAAAGATCTTCCCATAGCTCTTTGGCTTGATCCTGCCATAACTCCAATACGGATCAAGCCGCGTAGAGTGCCCTTCACCCTCAAGCAGAAGATCGATGCAGAGCTGGATAAGCTGGTGCAGCAAGGCATCCTTCAGCCAGTGGATAGCAGTCAATGGGAAACCCCCATAGTCATGCCACTTAAGGCCAACGGAGAAGTGCGAATATGCGCAGATTACAAGTGCACTATCAATAGAGCACTCCAACAACACTCATATCCGGTGCCTGTAGTCAGCCACATTTTGGCGTCACTACAAGGAGGTCGCATCTTTGCCAAGTTAGATTTGGCTCAAGCCTATCAGCAACTGCCGGTGGATGATGCCATGGTGGAAGGTCAAACCATAGTTACTCACAGGGGAGCTTTCAAAGTTAAGCACCTACAATTCGGGGTCAGTGTTGCCCCAGGCCTCTTCCAGGGAGTGATGGAGCGCACGCTCAAGGGTATTCCAGGCATGTGCCCATATTTCGATGATGTCCTTATAGCTGGGGAATCAGTCAAAAAATTGGCAGAACAGCTCAAGGCCGTCCTTCAGTGCTTCTGTGAAGCGGGGCTGAAGCTGAAGTGGGAGAAATGTAAGATTGGGGTAGCTTCAACTGAGTTCCTTAGTTTCCGTATAGATGTCCAATGCATTCATCCTGCTGAATTCAAGCTCCAAACAATTCAGCAGGCCCCCAGTCCAAAATCAAAGGGGGAGCTCCAAGCGTTCCTAGGACTGCTCAATTTTTATCATGCCTTCCTATCTCACAAGGCTGCAGTGGCAGAGCCATTACACCGGCTCTTGGACAAACATGCACAGTGGAAGTGGACCAGCCTCCACGAGAGGAGCTTCTCGGCAGTCAAATCATTGCTGTCTTCAAACTCCGTTTTGATGCATTTTAACGAAAAGCTGCCTGTTTGCATCGCTTGTGATGCATCACCATATGGGGTTGGGGCTGTGTTGGGTCATGTAATGACTGATGGAAGGCAAGCTCCAATAGCCTATTCCTCGAGGACCTTGTCCTCTGCAGAGCATAATTACGCTCAAATAAAGAAGCCTTGGCCATAGTGGCAGGGGTCAAGAAGTTTCACAGACCACAAGCCACTCCTGGGGTTGTTCACAATGAACAAGCAAACACCCCAGATCATATCTTCTAGGATGTTGAGGTGGTCAATATTTCTGTCAGCATACAATTTCAATTTGATTCATAAACCAGGTAGGGAAATGGGCCATGCAGACGGCCTTAGCAGACTGCCATTGCCACATTTAGAGCCTTACTCCGCTCCAGCCACGCACATCCTGGCTATCCAGGATCTGCCTGAGTCTCCCCTTAATGCAGGGAACGTGGCTGCAGAGACAGCATCCGACATGACGCTAAACCGCGTGTTAAACTGGATGCTCATAGGGTGGCCAGAAACTAGTCCAGGGCCTAACTTCCAGAGTTTTAATAGGAGGAAGGATGAGTTGTCAGCTCACAGGGGCTGCGTCTTGTGGGGTAGTCAGGTTGTAGTCCCGAACTCACAGAGGACTAGAGTCCTGGACTCTCTGCATGAGGGACATCTGGGAATACTCTGGATGAAGGCACTCACGCGAAGCTACTTTTAGTGGCCTGGGCTGGACAAAGATATTGAGGCTCAGGTACATAGCTGCCATATTTGCCAGCAATCTAGGCCAGAGATGCCCCATGCCCCAGTCCATAGATGTGAAACCACACACGCCCCCTGGTCCAGGATCCACATCGATTATGCAGGGCC